ACGTCCAAGATCAGTGTCTGATGAGGATGCTCTTCCTGCTTTGCAGACAGCTGTCTTCTTATAGTATCTTCATATGGCAGAGAGAAAGAGAGAGAGAGATAGCACCTCTCTCATGTCATATAAGGTCATTAATCCCATTCATGAGGCTACACACTCATGACCTAATTACCTCTTAAAGTCCCCACCTCCCAATACCATAACTTTGGGGATTTAGACTTCAGTATATGAATTTGAGCGGGGGGATGTAAATATTCAGTCTACAGAATTCCAACCCTGTCTCCCACCCCACAAATTTATATCTTTCTCACATGGAAAATACATTTATCCCATCCCAGTAGACCCAAAAGTCTTACCTGTTTCAGCATCAACTCTAAAATCCGAAGTCTCATCTAAATATCATCTAAATCAGATATGGATAAGACTTGAGGTAATAATATCCTGAGACAAAATTTCTCTCCAGTTTTGAACCTGTAAACACAAACAAGTTGTATGTTTCCAAGCTACAATGATGGAATAGGTGTAGGCTGGACATCCTCATTCAAAGGAGAGAGATAGGAAGAAGGGAGAGACGATGGTCTGGTCCTGTAGATCGAATAAGTCCAGACGTCTTCTTTCATTTTATCCCATTTTCTCTGTTTCCCTTAGTCTTAGCTGGCAGTGTTTCTGCTGGTATAGTCCCATTTCTATTCCTGGCTTCTGCTGAGACGGTTGATTTGGTACACATCCACACTGACCTACTTATTAAATTGTCATCTTACCCATACCTTTAGTGTTCTCTCCCAAGCATACTTTTTCATTTTTTTGTAATATGGGAAGACTGAAAATTTTTCAAATCTTTAACTTCTGGTTCCTTTTTTTTTTTTTTTTAAACAATTTCATTCTTTTCTCTCCTCTTGCATTTTACTATAAATATCAGTAGGAACCAAGTCACTCCTCAACACTTTGCTTAGAACTAACCTCAGCTAAATATCCAATTTCATTGTCTGCAAGTTCTACATTCCATGAAATGCTAAAACACAAACAATTAAGCCAAGTTCTTTGCCACTTTATAACAAAGACCACCTTTCCTCCAGTTTCCAATAACTTATTTTTCACTTCCATCTGAGATCTCATCAGAATGGCCCTTGCCATCCATATTTCTACCAACATTTTGTTCATAATTGTTTATGTATTTCCTAAGAAAATGGAAGCTTTTCTCTTTTGTCTTTTTTTTTGTTTAATCCTATAGAGATAGGCTTTGTGAACTTGATTCTCTTTTCTTTCTGAGCCCTCACTAAAGTCACCTTTCAAATCTCCTTCTTGGCAATGTCACCATTTTCTATCATGCACTTTCAAACTTTCCACCCTCTACCCATTAACCAATTCTAAAGCCATTGCCATATTTTCAAGTATTTGTTATAGCAGTACCCCACTGCTCATTACTAATTTTTTAGTTTGGGTGCCACAACAGCACACAATAGCCTGGGTGGCTTAAACGATAGAAATTCATTTCTCACAGTTCTCGAGGCCAGGAAGTCGAAGATCAAAGTTCCAGAATATTGGGTGTCTGGCGAGATGATTCTTCTTGGTTTGCGGATGGCTGTCTCCTTGTATACATACGTCATCGGGACATAGTGAGAAAGGCAGATATAGAGAGAGGGAGAAGGAGTGAGACCAACTCTTCTTAGAAGAACACAAATCCTTTTCATGAGGCTACACCCTCATAATCTAATTATCTCCCGAAGCTTCCACTTCCAAATACATAGCTTTAGAGATTTATGCTTCAGCATTTGAATTTGAGGGAGACACATTCAGTCCATAACATTTCCCCAGAAACTCAAGTAACCTGGCCATGCCAAACAGTGTAGTGCAGGATGCCTATTTTACCTGCTTATTCCACCTGCTCCAAATTTGACATGGGGCAAATCAGCAAGTGTGCTGTCTAACAGATGTGAAACTGAGGAATGAGATGCCAAATGCTGTCTTTTATTGGAACCAGTCTCTAGGAATGATTCTTTAGGAATTCCCTCATCGGTTTTATGGAGCAAGCATCCCTGCCCCTACCACATTGAGAAAAAGGGAAAAAGCCACCGTAGACCCTAACAAGTCAATGACTCACAATTCTGACATTTTTCTTTCTTCCCCTCACCACAGTATTCTGTTATTTGAAGGCCTAAGAGAATCTCTTGCTTCAATATTGGTGGATCTTTGTAGAATACAGAGTATGTATTGCTCCTTTTTACTCAGCCATGGAGTAAAAAGTCACCTGGTCACCAATTCTAAGGCAAAAGAATAATTGCCACTCAACCACTTATTTTAACAAAATGAAATCCAACACTATATTAAATAAATATTACTCCATTATGACTAAGTAGAGTAAATTTCATGAATAAGAAAGAGTATCCTCATTGATCTCTACGACATTTTGTTACTCACTTTCTAAAATTTATTTTACATAATTCATACAACAATCCCTTGAGGTAACTATTAACCTTATTTGACATATGAAGGACTGAGATTCAGAGTATTCACTATTCTATGGAAGATTACATAGAGTCAAGATGCAAAGTAAGGTCTAACTCCAAAGCCTATGCTCTTTGGTTCACCACAAGGAAATTCATATCTGAATATATACTCTGCAAATGAATTTGAAAAAATACTTTAGCAAGATAAGGATAAAATATTACCTCCTTAATAAGACTGTATACCCAGCATCATCCTTAAGAACCCTTGACTCATTCTCATTTTAGATAGAAGCAAACAATGCCCATTCTCACTAGTATACTACACTCTTCTAGAAGTTTTTCCCAATGATATTAAATAAGAACATAAGATAAATTTTTTGAAAGGAACAGATAAGTTATTTTATGAAGATTACATAAATTTATTGAAAGAGAGAATAAACTGAAAACCCATTACAATGTATAAGATGTTAAGAAAGTTCAGTAAAAATTTACCAGAAATCTTAAGCATTCAATTTTTTTTTGAGACAAGAGTCTCACTCTCTTGCCCAGGCTGGAGTGCAGTGGCAGTGATCTCAGCTCACTGCAACCTTCACCTCCCAGGTTCACGCGATTCTCTTGCCTCAGCCTCCTGAGTAGCTGGGGCACACGCCACCACACCCGGCTAATGTTTGTATTTTTCATGGAGACAGGGTTTCACCCTGTTGGCCAGGCTGGTCTCGAACTCCTGACCTCAGGTGATCCACCTGCCACAGCCTCTCAAACTCTTGGGATAACAAGCATAAGCCACCATGCCTGTCCTATTAGGCATTCATTGAATATCAAACAGGTACTATGTACCAGTCATTGCTATAGGTGCTAAAATACCACAGGGAATAAAACACATAAAGAGTCTTCCCTCAGAGTTTATGTCCTAGGATAAGGTGGGGAGACAGACAATAAACTAAATAAACAAATGAATTTATAATATAAATTCACCAGTGATGAATGCTGTAAAGGAAAATATAGTAAATTAAGGAAATTATGACCAACGGGGATTACTGTTTTAGATGGGGGAAGTGGGGTGGGCTGGAAAGATCTTTCTGAAGAGGTGGAAATGAAATGAAGGAGTAGGCCACGTCAACCCCTTGTGGGGAGAATACTACAGGCAGAGGAAAGAGCAAATGCCAAGGTCCTTAAGTGGAGACTGAATTGCTTTCCCTAAACCAAACAGCTAGAAAACATGCTCAGTTTTCATGTGGAGGTGAGAGGTGAAGCATTATGCAGAGAGAGGCCTGGAGTGGCATTCAATGGAAATTCTGCTACCTAGAAATGAGAACTGGGGGAAAAGTTTCTGTCTGTTAGACATTTTGAATTTTACTCAAGTCTGATAGGAAATCAGTTGAAGGAAATGATAGTCACATTTATATTTTACAAGTGCTGCTATGGCTGTATTGAGAAGAGAATGTTGAGGACAAGAGTCATAGCAGGGAGAGCAAACAGAAGAAGGCTAGAGACGTATGGAAGCAGTTCAGATGAAAGATAAAGGGGTCTTGGACTTGCATGGGAGCAATGAGAGAAGAGGTGTTTGGATTTGGAATCTATTTCAAAGAAAGACAGTGATATTTGCTGATAGGTTGGGAGTGGAAAAAGAGAGAAAGAGAAATCAAAGATGTCTGCACATTTTTTGGCCTAAGCCTCTGGTTGAATGTCAATGGGGAAACCTACATGAGGAGAAGATCAGGAAGGGGGTGAAATCAAGAATTTGGTTTTGAATATGTTAAGTTCGAGACACTTATAATTCAGCTAAGTGCAGGAGTCATGTGGGCAGTTGGATATATAAATCTGAAGTTCAGAGAAGAGGTTAGAGTCTGGACTATAAATCTGGGACATTGGCCTATAGACAATAGTTACAGTGTGGGACTGGATTATATCAACTATATTATATAATATATCAACCAATTATATAATATATCAACAAATATATCAACTATATTATATAATCAACTATATTATATAACTAATAACTCAACTAAGGGTGAGTGTCTGTGGTCTGACGACTGAGTCCTGGGTTGCTCTAGCATTTAGAGGTCAGAAAGATAATTATGTAATATTATTAACTTTCTAACATACCATCACTAGCCAGTTAAGGAATTTAGAGGAACATAATTTGTCTTTACAATAAATAAATACTGTCATCCCTTCTGTTATCTGAACTCCCTAACTCTATGTCCCACAACTTTGATTCAGGTCTAGTAATGTCCCCAATATCTCACTGAAGTAATTTCCAGCATGTTTTTCTGAAAGGGTTAATCAGCTTGTGAATAATAGTTTCTTGGAGTGCCCTCGATCCTATCACAACAGCCAATAGTTTTCTGTCCTCCTCTCCTTTAAATGACTAAAACTAATGTTTTCAACTCCTGCTCAATCAGTCCAATGTTTCACACTTTGTGCTATGATAGCATTAACATAACAGCCAAGTCTGCATAACTAGGACTTCATCACATTTCTCCAAATTCATCTTTTAGATTTATTTTGTAAATTTTCTTATTACTTTAAATTAATTTTTATTTCTTCCAGGCATGCCTCTTTCAAATGTGAGCCTGAACCTAGAAAGAGTGATTTTGAAAAGTCAAATTTAAGACCATTCTTTGTTCAAACAAATATAAAAAATCAAGAAAGTCAGTCAACAGGTAATGCTTTGTGTAACATATTTACTTCTTTGATTTTAATGGGTGCTTTATTTTTTTATTGATGTATGTCTTAAAAGTTATTGATAATTTGATGTCTCTGTCAAAAACATTTACATGAACTATTTACGTGAAAAAGAATTTACTAACAAGAAGAGATGTTAAATATCAGAATGGGTAATTTGTACAATTCACAAAATAGGAATATATTTTTATGTTGATAGGGTTTTATGTTTTTTTCTTCTAGAAAGAAAATCTCTGAGGTTGCTTTCAGCTCAACACTGAGAATTTCCTTGTTATTGTTTTTTAAAAGTCAAATATGAACAGCTTGCTTAATAGAAACTTACTTTAGATTAGAAATTTTAGAAATCTGTGAGCCAGGAACCAGTACTATCAATTCTCAGAGAATTTGAGTGTTTTGTATTGCTTTTGTTTTTCTCTTTCTCTGGCATTATCAAACAATCATGCAATTGCATAATTCTCATCAACCTTCTTAACTGAGGTTCCTTGACTCCACATCAACCCATATTGCTTAATTTCTCTATTATGCTTCATGACCTAATTTCTCAAAAGATTTATTTATATATCCTGTTATTTTATTTCTCATGGTTCACTTTCAAAATATCATATTTCCTTATGTGTCTTATTATCTTTGAATGTGTGATGGACACTATTTGGAGAATTATTCATAGAAACAATTTGAGAACTAGGGTGAAGGTACCTTACTCCAGAGAAGATTTTTTAAATTGTTTATGCCAGGTATCTGGAGGCAGTACTTGTCAGAACATATCAAAGCATCCAAGGCTTCACTTTCCCTGTAACATCCAGGTGGCAAACTTATCTATTCTAGTTCACCCTAAGGTTGTAACACTTTTGGATCCCAGGTAAAATGAATAGGTGTGGGTTTTTTGTGAGGGAAGGGAAGTGAAGAACATATTAAATATAAAAACTTTGGACCTTCGGTCAGCTTTTTGTTTTTTTCTATCTCAACCCATGAACATTTCAAAACTTGATCTTACTTTCACATCACAAATACCCTCAGGGAAAAAGTGGCTTGGCCTGTCGGGCTTACCTGAGTCCTTATCTTCTCCTAGGTTTAAGCCCAGGCATCTCTTATCATTTTTTAAGTCTATGATGCTCTTTAGATTTTAAAAAATATTCCAACTAGCCTCTTAAAATGTTTTTAGTGGGATGGCTGGTACTAATTACCTGGCTCTCCATAATGGTAACAGAAATCTCTAATCCATTTTCTTTCCTTAAATCATATAGTGATCTTTTAAAAGTAGGCTCATCATCTCCTGATTAAAACCTCTTCAGTGGCTTCTCACTGTACTTAGTATGAAGCTTGTACTCTTTACAGATATATACCTGGCCAGGTGCAGTGGCTCATTCCTGTAATCCCAGCACTTTGGGAAGCTGAGGCAGGTGGATCACTTCAGGTCAGGAGTTTGAGACCAGCCTGACCAACATGGTGAAACCATGTCCATACTAAAAATACAAAGTTAGCCAGGTGTGGTGGTACACGCCTGTCATTCCAGCTACTTGGGAGGCTGAGGCAGGAGAATCCTTTTAACCCAGGAGGTGAAGGTTGCCTTGAGTTGAGATTGCACCATTGCACCCTAGCCTGGGCAACAAGAGTGAAACTCCACCTAAAAAAAAAAAAAAAGAAAAGAAACAAGACTTGTCTATTGTGACCTTTGCATATGTATTTAACGTCATTCCCTACCTTCCTGGCCTTCATTTAAATTGCATCTTCAGCTAGGCAGTGTGGTTCACACCTGTAATCCTAGACCTTTGGGAGGTCAAGGTAGGCAGATCACTTGAGGTCACGAGTTCAAGACCACCCTGGCCAACATGGTGAAACCCCGAATCTTCTAAAAATACAAAGATTAGCCAAGTGTGGTAGCACATGCTTTTAATCCAAGCTACTTGGGAGGCTGAGGCATGAGAATCACTTGTTGAACCCAGGAGGTAGAGGCTGCAGTGAACCAAGATGGTGCCACTGCACTCCAGCCTGGGTGACAGAGTGAGACTCCATCTCAAAATAAATAAATAAATTGCATCTTCATTAGTCCCTTTTCAGTACAACTGCCAAATTGCCTAAGAGGAATATATTTTCCCCTCTGCCTAGACACACTGATACTCTATTCATGAAGCTTAGAGCTCATTTGCATATTTTGATTAACTGTCATCTGTTCAGAGAGGCCTCCTTGGACTATCTTATCAAAAATATACCTCTTTTATGGTTCTCCCTCACCAAAATGTGTTTATTTCTGTTACAGAATGTATTTCAATTATTCACCCCTTGGTTTTTTGTTTTTTGGTGGTTTTCTTTTTCCAACAGGGTCTCACTCTTTTGCCCAGTCTGAAGTGCAGTGGTATGATCATGCTCACTGTAGCTTTGACCTCTCCGGGCTCAGTAATCTTCCCACCTCAGCCTCCTGAGTAGTTGACACTACAGGCACACCACCACACTCAGTTAATTTTTGTATTTTTTTTAGAGACAGGGTTTCACCATGTTGCCCAGGCTAGTGTTGAACTCCTGGGCTCAAGTGATCCACCTGCCCTGGCCTCCCAAAATGCTGGGGTTATAGGCATAAGCCACTGCACTTGGTCGACCTCTTGTTTGTTTTCATTTGTTTGTTTGTTTATTTTCCATATTACCCATGAAAATGTATGCATCATTGGGCAGGAGTCACAATTCCAGAGTCCATCAGTGCCTGGCATATAGTAGCTGAACAACAAATAACCATTGATTGAATGACTATCAGACTCTGTATTAAATTTGTTACATCTATTATCTCGTTTAACTCTGACAGTATTTCTATAAGTGCTATTGTTTCCAATTAACAAATGAGAAAAGTAAGACTCATAGAGTTTAAGTAAGTTTCCTATGGCTAGGGCTATATAGCCCGCACAAAAAAGTGCAGTTTGGACCCAGTTTATCTAAGTTCAAAGTTTGTATGCCTGACCCCTGCACCATACTCACTTTAAGAATATCCATTGGATGATAATTCAGATTAATATAACTCATAACTGAGGATGAGAGAAATGCGGGTAGAAGGGAGTATTTCTATTTCTCTTTTCAAAGGAATTAGCCAAAATATTTTTTGAATAACACCTGTGATTCTATTTTATTTAGAAATCTATCATTTTCCAAGACAATATAGCTTTATTGTATTATAGTAAATAATTGAAAGTTATAGTCTGTTAATAGAAATTCACTCTTAGGGCAAATTATTCTAAAATAGACTTAGCTCTAACTATGTACAAGCAATGCATATGTAAGCAAATAAAAGTATTCATTTATATTTCTTAAAAGTTTACTGCAGTGGAGAAAATGGTTGATTGGGTTTAGTTAGAATTAACTTAATAGCATGGAAATACTTAGGTTTGAATTTCTTTCTTTAGAGCCAGTAGAAGAAAATCTAAAATCAAGATCTATTGGACCCTATCTTTATCTTAAGGATACAACTGAGGTAGGTATAATTTTTATACTTTATAATTACTTAATAGAAATTCACATTAGCCCTAACAATTTTATATATGCTTCTACAATTCCCAAATTCAAGTGAATTTTAGGATTCAAAATGATAAAATGTTAAAGTGATTTCATCTCTGATATTATACAAAACTTTGTGTATGAAAACAGTAGAGAAGATAATATATTCTTTCTTGAAGATTTTCAATACAGTAGAAATCATTGAACATGATAAGGACTAGCACTTACAAAGTCTGTTAAGACAAGCATCATTAAAAACATACATGTATAACTTAAACATTCAAATTTATCATATAAAAATATATAGCCATTTGTTACTCTTTTAATGTGTAACCAAGACCTTTTTTTTTTTTTTTTTTTTTAAGCATACTAATTACAATAGCAACTACCACAAACAAGATTGGAACCAACATTACTGACTCTTGATAATCACTTGAGCAGAAGTTCATGGTCATGCTGAAAAGTGACTAGTTTTTTTTGTTTTGTTTTGTTTTTAAACTTTCCTAACCATGCTGATGATTTCTGAAGTGACTAGTCTTGAGTGTGCCTTCAGTAGTTTTTATCCAGGGAAGTATAGAGATAAATTAATCCAGAGAATCAGCAAGGGAAAGTCACTTTAGAGAGTCTCTTAGGTATTAATTTTTATATTTGAAACCTGAATTAGTCCTAATACAAAGAAATATGAAGAAATACAGACTAAAGGCCATAATTAATAACTTAAATTTTTGTTGTGTATGCCTGCATTTTATAATTTAAAAAATATTAACAGGATTGTCAGTTTTATCTTCATCTAGGTGGTTTATTTAGTTTCATGTTTTATTTAGGTTAATGGTTAATAAAAGTCTCCCAAGATATATATTACATGATAACATCATAATCAGGCTAGTCATTATAATACATTTTCTAGCATCTTATGTAAAAATTGTAAAGTTTTAGTTTTTTAAAAATAAAAATATCCATGTGATATTTTAAAAGCAAATAGGACAGAAACACTAATAATAACACACAACTGTTTCATTCTCTGCTTCTTCTTCTAATTTCCTCTTTTCAGAAGCAACCAAGTTTAACCTTTATGGGTTTCAGTACCTTATAAGATTAACTCCAAATTTCTAGAGAATGAGTTTCTACTGCTGATTTTAATTTATCAACTTTAAACATCATCTACTGAAAAGCAATGAGAATGATTGTTTATACTATTCTGCATACTGCCTCTTCCCACTTTCCTCTTCTGGATCTTTGATGTTACTTTTTTTCCTTCTATTCTTAATTTTTGCAACTTGAAATAATATATCTAAATTTTTTCCATCACCTTTAATCACTAACTCCTGATTCCCCTTTATATAAGGCGAAGATTTTAGCAGTTTTATCCTGTCTTCCAACTATCTTCCACACTTCTTCCCTAGGTCGAGTGTATATTTACTTTTACATTTTTTAGGTCAACTGTTATATTCAGCTTTGAACTCCGATTAAGCCTTTATGTTTTGTTTCTAGGTTAATTCTAAAACTCAAAATGCTATTAACAGTATTAACAGCATTTATATTATTATGATATTATAAATAATCATTTCATTTACATCACAGTAATGTCTCTGTAATAATCATTACAGAACAAAGTAATATGCTTGGATTACTTTTCTTCTCAGTGGGTACAATCAATGGACGCTTTTCCTCCATCAGTTACTAAAAAATGCCATGTTGGATGGGAGCGGTAACTCATGCCTATAATCCCAGCACTGTGGGAGGCCAAGGTGGGTGGATCATGAGGTTGGGAGATTGAGACTATCCTGGCTAACACGGTGAAACCCTGTGTCTGCTAAAAATATAAAAAAATTAGTCAAGGGTGGTGACACATGCCTGTAATTCCAGCTACTTGGGAGGCTGAGGCAGGAGAATCACTTGAACCAGGGAGGCAGAGGTTGCGGTGAGCCAAGACTGCACCATTGCACTCCAGCCTGGGCAGCAAGAGCAAAACTCCATCTCAAAAAAAAAAAAAAAAAAAAAAAAAAGCCATTTTTTTTTTTCCCTTATATTTAAACCTTAACTGTCTAGTATACTCTTATGTTTTTTCTTGGAATTTCTAATGGTCTTTCTTTTTTTCATGTGGGAAATGATGATAATAATAGCAAACATATAAGTACATATGTATGTCAAGCACTATTCAAAGAAAAATTACATCCTCAATAACCCAATGACTTAAGTACTACTATCCCTGAGAAAAAAAGAGGCACAAGGAAGATAAGCAACATGCCTAAGATTCGTATATGACAGAATCAGGAAGAACCCAGCAGTTTAATTCATGCTCATTATCACTAAGATCTACAGCCTGCAAAAGAGAAGCATGTAACTTTCTTATATGTGAAAATGATCAAGTTTTTTATTCATTCTCTCTATTATATAGAATCCATTCCAATCTTATTGCAGGAATTGTTTGTGAAGCCCAGTGACTTCTTGTTCTAAATTTGACCTGTTACTTGTGAGCCTACTTTTAGGTTGTCATTCCATTCCTTCCTAATTTATCCATTGCCTCTAGATTTTCTAGTTTGTGTGCATAAAGGTGTTCATAGAAGTCTTGAATAATCTTTCATATTTCTGTGATATCAGTTTTAATAACTTGTTTCATTTCTTATTAAGTATATTTGGATATTCTCTCTTCTTAGATAATCTCACTAATAGTCTATTTTGTTTATCTTTTAAAAGAACCAGATTTTAATTTCATTTATCTTTTGTATTTTTTTGTTTGTTTGTTTCAATTTCATTTAGTTCTTCTCTGATCTTTGCTATTTCTTTTCTTCTGCTGGTTTTGGATTTGATTCATTCTTGTTTCTCTAGTTCCTTGAGATGTGACCTTAGGTTTTTCATTTGTACTCTTTCAGATTTTTGGATATAGGCACTTAATGCTATGAACTTTCATCTTAGCATTGTTTTTGCTGTATCCTGGAAGTTTTGATAAGTTGTGTCACTATTATCATTCAGTTTGAAGGATTTATTTTCATCTTGATTTCATTGTTGACCCAAGGATCATTGAAGAGCAGATTATTTAATTTCTATGCCTTTGTATGGTTTTGAGTGTTCCTTTTGAAGTTAATTTCCAGTTTTATTCCACTTTGGTCTGAGAGGGTACTTGATATAATTTCAATTTTCTTAAATTTACTGAGACTTGTTTTGTGGCCTATCGTATGGTTTATCATGAAGAATGTTCCATGGGCTGATGAAAAGAATGTATATTTTGCAGTTGTTGGGCAGAATGTTCTGTAAATATCTGTTAAGTCCATTTGTTCTAGGGTATAGTTTAAGTCCATTGTTTCTTTGTTGACTTTCTGTTGATGACCTGTCTATTGGTGTTAGCGGAGTATTGAAGTACCCCACTATTATTATGTTGCTGTCTATCTCATTTCTTAAGTCTAGTAGGAATTGTTTTATAAATTTGGCAGCTTCAGTGTTAGGTGCATATATATTTAGGACTGTGATATTTTCCTGTTGGACTAATCCTTTTATCATTATATAATGTCCCTCATTGTCTTTGTTAGCTGTTGTTGCTTTAAAGTCTGATGGACTAATGGCTACTCCTGCTTGCTTTTAGGGTCCATTTTCATGGAATATCTTTTTCTATTCCCTTACCTGAAGTTTATGTGAGCCTTTATGCATTATATGAGTCTCTTGAAGATGGCAGATACTTGGTTGGTGGATTTTTACCCAGTCTGCCATTCTGTATCTTTTATGTGGAACATTTAGGTCATATATATTCACAGTTAGTATTGAGATGTGAGGTAATGCTCAATTTATCATGCTAGTTGCTGCCTAAATACCTTGTTTTTAAAAATTGTGTTTTTTTTTAAATTGTGTTATTCTTTTATAGGTCCTTTGAGATTTATGCTTTAAGGAGGTTATATTTTGGTGTATTTTGAGGTTTTGTTTAAAGATTTAGAACTCATTTTGGCATTTCTTGTAGTGCTGCCTTGGTAGTGGTAAATTCTTTCAGCATTTGTTTGTCTGAAAAAGACTTTATCTCTCCTTCATTTATGAAACTTAGTTTTGCTAGATACAAAATTCTTGGCTGGCAATTATTTTGTTTTAGGAGACTAAAAATAGAACCCCAATCCCTTCTGGCTTGTAAGATTTCTGTTGAGAAATGTGCTGTTAATCTGATAGGTTTTCCCTTACATGTTACGTGATGCTTTTATCTTACAGATCTTAAGATTCTTTTCTTTGTCTTGATTTTAGATAACCAGATGACTATGTACCTAGGCAATGATCTTTTTGTGATGAATTTCCCAGGAATTCTTTGAACTTCTTGTATTTGGATGTCTAGGTCTCTAGTGAGGCCAGGGAAGTTTTCTTCTATTATTCCCTCAAATTAGTTTTCCAAGCTCTTAGATTTCTCTTGTTTTTCAGGAACATCAATTATTCTTACGTTTGGCCATTTAACATAATCCAATTTTTTTTGAGGCTTTGTTCATTTTTAAAATTATTTTTTCTTTGTCTTTGTCTGATTGGGTTAATTAAAAAGTTCTGAAGTTCTTCTAGTCTATTGTTGAAACTTTCCAGTGCATTTTTGATTTCTCTTAAGTGTGTCTTTCATTTCCAGAGTTGTGACTGTTTTTTCTTTATAGTATCTATTTATCTGGAGAATTGTTCATCCATATCCTGTTTTTCTTTTTTAAATTTCTTTGAGTTTCACTTTCCTTTGGTATCTCCTTAAGTAGCTTAATAATTAGCCTTCTGAATTCTTTATCTGGCTATTCAGAGATTTCTTCTTGGTTTGGATCCATTGCTAGGGAGCTAGTATGGTCTTTTGGGGATATAATAGACCTTGTTTTGTCATATGATAAGAATTACTTTTCTGATTCCTTCTCATTTGGGTAGATTATTTCAGGGGAAAAATCTGGAACTCAGGACTGATGTTCAGATTCTTTTGTCCCATGGGGTAATCCCTTGGTGTGGTGCTCTCCTCCTTCCCCTAGGGATGGAGCTTCCTGA